TATATATATATATATATATACCGTATATATGTGATATGATATATTAATTTAACAAAAAAGAAAATGCATAATATTCCCGTTTCATATCAACAAAGTAGTATTTATTAAAACCGTTGCCCTACTCTCCTACCTATTATGTTGCCGATACGTGTATTTCAAATGCACAGCTAATAACATAGGGAACTGACAATAATATTAATAAACTCTCAATCATCACCATCCCCTTATTAATTTTTCGGAGCTCGAAGCGGAGCTGGTGTTGAAAAAATTGTCCGGAATGGATCTGGAAAAGGAAAGGGAAGGGGGGGGGGCACAAATTTGTGAGAATGCGTCCCATTTGTTTTGAGCATTTGTGGCGACGGAGAAATGGGGGTGGGGGAAATCGTCCATAGCGTGGGGTCATTTACTGATGGTCATCGCAAATCACATGGTAAGCAGATACGTTGTTCGTGTTTGGTCAGCTCTACTTTGAGCACCCCTCCCCCTTTTTCGTATGCCAATGAGCTTAAGTTACTGATTTGCGCTAAGTAACATGAGAGTGAGGGCTGGTGATTATAATTATATATAATAGGACGCACTCATTTTGCGGTATTAATGGTGTACTGACTGGGATCCCTTTGTTGAAAATGGCCGGAAGACCAAGATTAAATAGGATTCAAATTGTTGATCCAACGGAAATTTTAAATGATGCAGCACTTCGGACTGAGAGTTGGCTTATGCGCACACTTTGTGAGGCAACACATAATGTCAATACAACAATGGAATTTCTTGCAAGGCGCTCCTTTTTAAAGAATAAAATGGAATGCAACAATTGCCATGTGGCTTGTAACCTTGCAACCCACAATCAAGGTATTGACAAACATATATGGAAGTGTCCAATTTGTCGTTTGAGGAAAGTATACGAGATGGCTCATTTTTTACTAGGAGTAGGAGCCATCTACCATTATCTAAATCAGTCATTCTCATCTACTGTTTCGCCATTGATTCTCCTCAAGATGTTACGAGGCATGAGTCTCAAATCCATAACCAAAACACGGGGATTGACTGGTTTAATTTTCTTCGAGAGGATATAGGGATTTATCTGAACCAGCATGCAACTCAGATTTGTGGCTTTGACGATAATGGGGAGCCCATGGTGGTTGAGCTTGACGAATCAAAATATTTCCATCGGAAATACCACAGAGGAGCATGGCGTCAAGGCCACTGGGTTTTTGGTGGCATAGAAAGGTCCACTGGAAAATGCTTCCTAGTGGAAGTTCCAGACAGAACAGCTGGAACCCTGGAAAACATTATCGTCCAACAGGTTTTGCCAGGGACACACATAATAACAGATGGCTGGGCAGGCTATAGGAACATAGAGCAATTGTCCAATGGGATATTCATACATTCAGTTGTAGTGCACGAAAGAAATGTTGTTGATCCCAACGACTCAGATGTGCACACACAAAATATAGAAAATCTATGGATGCGCGCCAAACGTAAACTGAAAAGACGGTACAGAACAAGTGACACATTGTTTCCATCATATTTAAAGGAGTTTCAGTTTCGTTGCAACTTCGCAAAGTTTAAAGTCTTCAACGAACTTTTGATTGTCTTAAAAGGACGATATCCTGTTTAATAAAACATTTTAAACAGTTCCATTTTTTTCCTTGGATTTTCCAGAGCTTAAAAGGTCAGTTTGTACAATTGTTCTTTGTTTTGTACCATTGAGTCCTTTGTGAGCCGACATCGTTGTTGTATACTGTATATACTGACGGTGGATGACGGTGGTTGACGGTGGATGTATGGCGGTGGATGATAGATGGATGTGTCATCTACCGTTATCTAATGTCACCCTTCGTCACCCACAGTAATCCACCATCATCCACAGTCACCCAAAGTAATCCGCCGTCATCCATCTATCATCCACCGCCGTCCACCGTTGCCTACTATTATCCACCGTTATCAACCATCATCCACCGTCATCCACAATCACGAACTCTCATCCACCGTCATAAACCAGTATCCACAGCCATCCACCGTCATTCATCATCATCCACAATCATCCATCTATCATCCACCAACATCAACCATCATCCACTGTCATCCACCGTCATCCACCATCATCCACCGTCATCTACAATCATCCATATATCACCCACCAACATCAACCATCATCCACCGTCATCTGCTATCATTCACCGTCATCCATCTATCATCCACGCCCATCCACAGTAATCTATCATCATCCACTGTCATCAACCATCATCCACCATCCTCCACCATCATCATCCGTTATCCACAATCATCCATCTATCATCCACCAACATCAACCATCATCCCCTGTCATCCACCATCTTCCACCATCATCCACCGTCATCTACCATCATCCACAATCATCCATATATCATCCACCAACATCAACCGTTAGCCACCGTCATCCATCTATCATCTACCCCCATCCACAGTCATCTATCATCATCCACTGTCATCAACCATCATCCACAATCATCCATCTATCATCCACCAACATCAAACGTCATCCACCATCATCATCCGTTATCCACCATCATCCACAATTATCCATCTATCATACACCATCATCCAAAGTCATCCACATATCATTCACCCCATCCACCGTCATCCACAATCACGAACCGTCATCAATCATTATCCACCGTCAGCTACCGTCGCCTAAAGGCCGAGTTCCACAATAATTTGCAGAAATTAAATAAACGTTCTATTTATTGTAAATCCAATTATTAGTGAAACAATATCTTTATTTCACAATAATAATCCGATAAAAGAAACATAAATTATGTGAGACCTAAATAGTTACAATTTTAAACCCACCACTTATCACTTCTTTAGAAAGAAATACCCGACTCTTAAGCATAATTAAAGTTATAATATGAATACAAAATATTTATTTTATTATAGATACATCCAATTAGGCAACTTTTATAAGGTATCTTTAAGGACAGAAGAGGTCTCCTCATTTGACCACAATGGCGCCTTGAAAGACACAAGA